AACTGCAGCCAAGTTGGACAAATTTCACATTAAGAACAAGCACAGATGCTTCAGCTGTAGTTGGGTAAAAGTTCGTGAAAATCATGGCAGATGTGTAAAAGCACTTGGTCCTGTGATTTCATATGGAACCAAGCACACTGTCATCACTCAGATGTGAAATTAATGATAATACAAGCATCCCTTGCTCAGCAGAAGTTGAACTGCTCCCAGTTGCAAATTAAGCCACACATTCATTCTTTGGAACTTCTTTTCCACCCTCTCTTTCACACAATCTGGCATAGGGATATGTTACTTAACGTCTGATTCTCGGTGTTGTATTTTCTATTGTCAGACTCAAGTAACTAGCTACTATCTGACAGTAAACATTTGGGCAAGAAAAAAAAATACCATGTTGATCTGCTAAGAACATACTGAACAGCTAGCCATTATGAACAGAGAAGTCAACACAATTCATGTGCAAATGAGCCTCACACATTAGTTGACTAGACACAAAACACCACAGTTTGCAGCACTGGGACAAGATGACAATAGAGAAGATTATGGGATTAAGCAGGCTATTATTTCCCATGGAGTATTTGAATGGCTTGTAAGATATGCTCTAAGGCTGGCTTTTACCTCTGTCTATTGAAACCTTGAGCATTGTCTCACCTGTTACTGTTTATAGACAGATCTGATTTCTGCGACCGAAAGGATTTCCATGGAGCAATGCGGGCTGGGCAGGGGTTCCCTTTAATTTTTCCAAACAACCAACGCATAGATGGGGAAACATGGTTCCTTACAGAAGTATTCCCATGAGTCTCACAACATAAACAGGTGCCAGCCCAAATTTCCCCTAAAGGGACTATGGAAATGCAGGCTGAAATTCCATCTTGGAGCTGAAATATATCCAAAATTCCCCAGAGAGCAAAGCTCCACAGCAACCACAACTTTCCTTGCCACAGTGTCAACCTCCTCCCTCTGACATAGGTCACTTCCTCACCTAAACATAATATATAGGGCACCTCTAGCTAGGGGTTACCCAGCAACTGGACATTCATTTATTCATCCATCAAGTTTTTACTGAATGGCTGTTACATGCCAAGGATAAGTCCAATGAACAAGGATGTGAGCTATAATATTGTATCTTCCATGCTAAGTTCATCAATTGGATATTCTTCCCCAACTCATTCCTGACCATCCTCATTTTTCTGACTACATTGTTGTTCCTTAACTGTGAGATACACATCATAAGCAGTGTAAAGCATTGAACATACCCGTAGCAGTGTCTGTATCATTTCTAAAGGAAATGTTAGTTCTTTTCCCATAAGCCCTTCACAGTATTTGTATTTAGAAATCCTGGATTTCAAGAAGTCTTTCCTTTCAGCTCTGACTCAAAGACTTTATACTGTCTATTAAGCTCATTTATGTCAACCATATCCTTGCAAAAGGATATCCTTGCAAAAATGATCACATACCCCATCCCTGTAAAGGAATCATTGTCTGGAATAGCTTACTCATGTAGCCTACCAAGGTTTGTGATTGATTTATCCAAGCTTGTTTATAGAATGTGGATTCTAGGAGAATCAGCCTAAATCATGGTGAAGGCATCCGTCTAACCAGACTGACATTCTCAGGTAACATTATGTGATAAATGAGGATGATAAAAACAAAACAAAACAAAACAAAAACCACTTTCCTCTTGGATATTAAGGGTTTTAAAAATCTATGTCCCCATCCCATCCTCTTAGCTTCAAATGGAAAGTGGGATCAGCAATCTGAACCCAAGGTAAAAAGCTTCACGAAATTATCACAATCTGTGATAATAAGGAAGCCCCTTGAAACACCTACACATGGACTAATATTTTCATTTTTTAAATCTTTATTTTTGAGGGAGAGACAGAGTGTGAATAGGGGAGGAGCAGAGAGAGAGAGGGAGATACAGAATCTGAAGCAGGCTCCATGCTCTGAGCTGTCAGCACAGAACCCGACACGGGGCTCAAACCCATGAACAGTGAGATCATGACCTGAGCCAGTCAGACTCTTACCGGCTAAGCCACCCAGGCGCCCCTAATAGTTTCATTTTTGAGCGAGCACCTAATTAACTCTAAGAGATAAAGTGCCCAACAACCCTGCTGGTTTTAGAGAACGCAGCCTCCCCCAAGACTCAGTTCATCTCCGTTCAAGCTGGCTGCACCCTCTCTCCATCCTTTCTCCCCTCCTGGACTCTGGCTGGCTTTCCCAGTTTGAAATCTTCTGCGGCGTTTCTGGTAAACTGCAATGCTTATCAACCAGTCTCCTTATCCTTGGGGGCGTATTGAATATCAGATGAAAACACTACAGAATTGGACAAGCAATTATTTAGTTTTACAATAATTTCTAATGATTAGAGCAAGCCGATTTTCACTTGTAGCAGTCTGCAATGAAGAGGAAAAACTGAGATGAGCTCACTGATCCTCACATGAGTCTGGGAACGGAATGTGATCTGCAAGTTGCAAGGTCCAAAGAATACAAAAAGAGATGCCAGCCAGTGCAGCACTCCACTTAGTTGTCTTTTTACAAAATCATGCTGTTCAGGGTCTTCTCTCCAATTGTTTCTCCAAGATGGTTCTTGCCTGCTCTAGCTATCACTGATCAAAGGAATTTCATGGACACGGAGGGTTGAGGGACAGTCATACAGTGACCACATGAAGCCTGTTATTGACAGCCTTACATGACAGCCATTTAACCAGAAGGCACACGTGACTGCTGCCACATCTTAATCAGATCTGTGTGTGTGTGTGTGTGTGTGTGTATGTATGAGATTAATTGAACCCCTCCATTTCAGACTTAACAATGTCCTAGAAGCTTAGGATTTTCTCAGTCACTGCCTGAAAAGCCATGTCCTGCCCATACCCTGTGGCATTTGTAAACCAGCTGTCTGTCACTGCCATCAAGAAAGTCACGTGGCCACCACACCATATGCTGAGTCTTCTTTCATTCTGGATTATTTTTTCCTTAAAGCAATCTCATGTGTCACTAAAAGTTGAAATTCACCCACCTCACTGCTTTTGAAGAGAGCTACATTGATTTTTTAAAATTTTTTAATGCTTATTATTTTGAGAGAGAGAAAGAGAGACAGAGTCTGAGTTGGGGCAGAGAGAGAGGGAGACACAGAATCAGAAGCAGGCTCCAGGCTCCAGCTGGTCAGCACAGAGCCTGACAAGGGGCTCAAATCCATGAATTGTGAGATCGCGACCTGAGCCAAAGTTGGATGCTTAACCAACTGAGCCACACAGGCACCCCTGATTTTGTTTTTATTCACTCATTTACACATTCATTGTCTGTAATCTTATCTATACAACCTGCCCCACCCCCAACAAACACGATTGTCAGAGATAATACGTGCCACCTAATTAAATTTTAATTTCAGATAAACCACAACTTTTTAGTATAGGAATGTTTCAAAAGTTACATGGGGAATACTTATGCTAAAAGTTATTCATTGTTTATCTGGGCATCTTGTATTTTTACTTGCTAAACCAGGCAACCCTGCCCCAAAGAAATTCACCACCTTCACCATGGTCATTCCCTTCTTGATTTAAAATATTCTTAATGTTTATTTTTTGAGAGAGACACAGAAAGAGAAAAATGGTGTGCAAGCAGGGGAGGGGCAGAGAGAGAGGGAGACACAGAATCCAAAGCAGGCTCCAGGCGCTGAGCTGTCAGCACAGAGCCTGACACAGGGCTGGAACTCATGAACTGTGATATCATGACCTGAGCCAAAGTCAGATGCTCAACCGACTGAGCCACCCAGGGACCCCTCCCTTCCTGATTTAAGCCCAGGCTTCAGAAGCAAATGGGAATATTGACCAATATTGAGAAAATTTAAATCAGTTGGCACTGAAGTGGATTGAAAACTACAGTCACCACTGATCAGGTACAGGCATACCTCATTTTACCACGCTTTCCTTTATTGTGAGTCACAGATATTGCATTTTACAAATTGAAGGTTTGAATCAACCCTGCATCAAGCAAACTCTACTGGTGCCATTTTTCAACAGCATTTGCTCATTTTGTGTCTGTCACATTTTGGTAATTATCACAATATTTCAAACTTGTTTATTGTTATTATATTTAAATTGCTGCAATCTCATGATAAAATTTGAATGGATGAGGAGTTGCTCCTTATGGATGAGGAAAAAAGTGGTTTCTTGAGTTGGAATCCACACCTGGAGAAGATGCTGTGAAGATTGTTCAAATGATAACTCAAGGATTTAGATTATGACATAAATTTAGTTGAGGCAGGGTTTGAGAAGATTGACCCCAACTTTGAAAGACGTTCTGTGGGTAAAATGCTATCACACAGCATCACATGCTACAGAGAAATAATTCTTGAAGAGAAGAGTCAATCAATGCAGCAAACTTCACTGTTGTCCTAAGAAATTGCCACATTCACTCTGACCTTCAGCAGCCACCACCCCGATCAGTCAACAGCCATCATCATCAAGGCAAGTCCCTCCGCCAACAAAGAGATTACGACTTGCTTAAGTTCAGGTGACTGTTAGCATTTTTTAGCAACAAAGTGTTCAATTAAGATATGTACATTGGGTTTTTAGACATGATGCTATTGTACAATTAAAAGTCTGCAATATGGTCTAAACACAACTTTTATATGCAATGGGAAACCAAAAAATTCACTTGACTCACTTTATTGTGGTGGTCTGGAACCAAATCTGCAGCATCTCTGAGGTATGCCTGTAAATAGGGAATGAGACAATTTTTATAAAATCTAGATATGCAAACTGGATCCTGAACATGCTCACTTTCAAAGACTTCTGCCGTAATTAATATGTATAAACCTTGCACCACTAAAACCTAGAATGTTTTGAGTGCTTAAGCCAGAAGAAGGTAAGGTGTTTTCCAAATTCTTAGAAACCAGTTAATAGCTAGGGAAACCATGCTCACATTTTATTTTGGAATTTGCGTCAATTCGCTTAACCTCACCTAATTCATTCTCTCTCTCTCTCTTTCTCTCTCTCTAGTTACCTGAACAAGAATAAGTACTTGACAGCTATTGACCAAGATGCATTTGGAGGAGTATACAGTGGACCAACCTTGCTGTGAGTAAGACATACAGAAGAATATGTCGGTCTTTATTTTATTTTATTGGGAATAAAGGACAGTCACTAAGAGAAGAGGCTGATGTTTACAGGTAGGCCATGTTGTCTTGGCTAAAGACATCCTCAGTAGTCTTCCACCCAGCTGTATAGGCTACTGCTTGGAAGAAAGTTCTTGTTCTTTGACACTCAGAAGCCCTCACACTCCACCGTACCATCCGGATGCCTCATTAGGAAGCCACCTTGGTTGGACATTCATGGAGGCCCCCAGTGCAAAAAAAAACCAGGCATCTTTGAGCAGGTGCTGTTTGCAAAATTCTGAGACACAAGGTCTACAAACAGGTGGCAGGCACTCTGTGCAGAGAAAAATGTGTGTGAATGTGCATTGCACAATGCTTGGCATGAAGAAGGAAGAGTATAAATTGTCTGACTCCTATCTGGTAAAATTTACAATCACTGGAAAAGATGAGACATAATTATTTTTAAAAACAGCAGTTTAGAATCTCACCATTGAACATCTGGTCCAGTCCTTGCCAAAGCAGAACACAGCACCCCAGGAGAAGGCACAAGGTAATCCATTAGAGGCAAGGATAAATATTAGAGGTTCTATTTATATTTAAGATTTTAAAAATAAGGTGGCACCTGGGTGGGTCAGTTCATTAAGGGTCTGACTTTGGCTTGGGTCATGATCTCACAGTTCATGGGTTCGAGCCCCACGTGAGGCTCTGCGCTGACAGCTCAGAGCCTGGAGCCTGCTTCAAATTGTGGGTCTCCTTCTCTCTCTGCCCCTCCCCGCTCACACTCTGTCTCTCTCTTTCTCTCTCAAAAATAAACATTAAGAAATGTTTTTAAATAAGGACAAATTAAGTTTTGGTACTATATACACAGATGACTGCAGCCCCTCAGGTGTCAGGTAGGAAATGGACGCATTCCCAGGGAACAGTGGGTGATCCACAGTCTTGAGTACTTAACATCGTCACTCTTTCACTTCTAACAATCGTACTTCCTTTTTAGATTGAATGCACCTAGTTAAGTGAATTTATGACCTTATTTTCTTTCTTTTTTAAATTAATGTTTTATTTTTATTTTTGAGAGAGAGAGAGAGAGAAAGAGCACGTGAGCAATGGAGGGGCAGGGAGAAGGGGACAGAAGATCTGAAGTAAGCTCTGTGCTGACAACAGAGAGCCCAACTGGGGGCTCAAACTCATGAGTGTGAGGCCATGACCTGAGCTGAAGTTGGACGCTCAATGGGCTGAGCCACCCAGGTGGCCATATGGCCTTATTTTCTTAACACATAGGTGCCATATGAGAGGGCAGAGTGACCCTAAAAATCTACTATACCACATGGGATTCATTGTTAACTGAGGGCAAAGTACTTAAAAGCATTACACATTTTTCTTTCTACAAAAAGTCAAGTGAAAAAAAAAATGTGCTGGCCTTTTGTGTGATTTTTTTTTTAACCTGGAAGATACTTTTAAAAGATGACTTTATAGGGACTCCAGGGTGGCTCAGTCCGTTGAGCCACCTCTTGATTTTGGCTCAAATCATGATCTCACAGTTTGTGGGATCGAGCCCTCTGTCGGGCTCTGATCTGACAGTGAGGAGCCTGCTTTGGATTCTCTCCTTCCTTCTCTCTCTCTGCCCTTCCCCCACTTGTTCTCTCTCCCTCTCCCTCTCTCTCTCTCTCTCTCTCTCAAAATAAAAAAATAAACATTAAAAAAAAGACAACTTTATAACTGCTCCTTCAAGGGGCACCTAGGTGGCTTAGTTGGTTAAGCATCCAACTTTGGCTCATGTCATGATCTCACAGTTCATGGGTTTGAGCTCCGAGTCGGGCTCTGTGCTGACAGCTCAAAGCCTGGAGCCTGCTTCAGATTTCTGTGTCTCCCTCTTTCTCTGCCCCTCCTCTGCTCATGCTCTGTCTCTCTCTTTCTCTCAAAAAAATAAAAACATTTTTTAAAAAATTTTAAAGAATTATAACTGCTCCTTCAGGATAAAGGTGATACTTCACTAATTAATGTTGTTTCTCTGAAGAAATTTGTGCTTTGGAAATGACCTTTAGAAACAGGTATTTAAAAACATTTCCAAGTTATGTAATCTTCCTGATGAGAATGGTGAATATCACTTATGAAAATTATGTTTGTTAAAACCAGAAATTGAATTTTATCCTTTTTAAAAATATTTCAAATCAATAATTACAATGGTCTTAAAATCCACGTGTATAAAATATGAAAATGACACATGCATAGGTTAGTGTGCAAAAACAACTGATGGACATCCAAGAATATGAATTTCAATAAAAAACTTGTATTTAGTTCCTGAATTGGATTGAGAGTTGAGAATCTTAACTTAGTGAGTACAGCCATGCCTGCCTTAGTCCATGGGGAACCATCTATCTTTGTGAGGTGACTTTTTCACTGACAGCCACTTAAACCTAGACTGAAACAGATGCAGACCTCTGAATAGCTATATCAGAAAGGGTTAAACAGCAATTTTCAAAATTAGTGAAGTATATTTAATTACAGTGCTTTCACTTTAGTGAAATTTTTTTAAAAGGTTACTCGGGGCGCCTGGGTGGCGCAGTCGGTTAAGCGTCCGACTTCAGCCAGGTCACGATCTCGCGGTCCGTGAGTCCGAGCCCCGCGTCGGGCTCTGGGCTGATGGCTCAGAGCCTGGAGCCTGTTTCCGATTCTGTGTCTCCCTCTCTCTCTGCCCCTTCCCCGTTCATGCTCTGTCTCTCTCTGTCCCAAAAATAAATAAACGTTGAAAAAAAAATTTTAAAAGGTTACTCATTTATTTTCATCTTATCCTTTTAAAATGTATGTTTAGTGTGTTTTATAGTGTATATAACATGGTATTACAGTAATGTGTGCATGGAGATCATAAATGTACACAGGTTAAAGGCACATACTCAGTTTTTGCATGTGAATATGTGACCTTGGAAGAATTTAAAGACCAATGATGTAGACTACGACCACTCAAATCGGGGCCACTACAAGGTGAATGGCTAGCCCCAGAATGTACATCAAAATACAGCTTCTTTTATGGAGAAAATCTTCCCATAAAAGCAAAGTTGCCCCAACTGAACAGTGTGCTTCATGAAGTCATTGGCTTGCCTTACAGTACAAGCTTCTTACATTTGTCAAGGACTCATAAGAAACAGTTGGCCAGTGGGCACCAAGCTTTGAGTAGCACTAGTCTAGATGACAAGAGCCTCCAAATCTCCCTTTGCCTTCTATCTCGGTCCCTCTCAATTCCGTCTTCCCCAAGCCTGTGTGTGTTAAAATGCAAATCGGATGTTAACACTAATTCTGGTCTCCTGTACCCCTCAGGATAAAGACCTTGGTGTGGCACGCAAGGCTCCATTATAATCTTCAGCTTTGTCTCTCACACCACTATACACCCCTGACCAATGATCTGTCTGTATTAGCTCTCCTAATACTCCAACCTACTTACATGGCTATGTTAAACTCTTTCTTCGTTCTGCTTGGAAAACCCTACCACAACCTCATCTGTCTGATTAGCACCTACTACCATTTTATCTTTCAACCAAAAACCTCCTCCTCACTGAAGTCGTTCTTGACCCTTATTCTCCTTAGGGAAAGATAACCATTTCTTCTTCTGTACTCTAGCCCCTCTATGTATGCATCTCAAAGCAACAGTAGTATGTTTCTGTCTATCTCTCCAAGAGCTCTTGAGGGCAGGGTTATGCCTGTCTTGTTTCTACAGTTCTACTTCGTTTTACCATGCCTAAAACATAGTACTAGCTTTAAAAATGTTAGCAAAATTAATACGGTATACAATAAATACTTGAATCACACTTCTGTAAATGCTGTAGCCTTTAAATAGCAGTCACATTTTAAAGATATTTCAGTACTTTGTCCTTAAGGGAGAGTGTCCATTTATACTTCTAAGTGGTAAATTAATGTATCTATTTGTTTCTGTTGCTTAAAAGTTGTTTTGATAGTATTGGCAAGATTTTTTTTTTTTCAAGGCTCTCTGGCCAAGTTAAGAGCAGCTGTGCAAGTACTTGACAATGCAATTCCTGCTTCTGGACACAGGCCAGGTTGTGAAAAGTGAGCTAGATTAGGAGTGAGGCCTGGACTTGACTCCTGCTTTCATCACTAATTGTGAGACCCATGTCTCAGTGATCTTATTTGTCAAAGCAGAGTTACTAAAAGTAGTGAAGCTTAAGTAAGAAAATAAAGTAAAAGCACTTTGTATATGTCTCACGAATGTTAAGCATTGTGATTACCTTCGCTTCTTCCTGCCTCTTGATACTTCATTATTCTTACCTTTCTAAGTCTTTCTGTCACTCCTTCCTAATCTTTCTCACTAGCGATCACTGCCCCCAGTATTTCAGTCCCGAACTCTGGCTCTTTCTCCTCTCTGTCTCTCCTTTGGTTAAATCACTTGTTCTCAAATATTATGACAATATGAGAGAAATTTTCTAATTTCAGGTTTTTCAGAACTTAGCTCCGATTTAGTTATCTCACTTGCCTGAAATTTCTACTCCTTCCCTGTCATTCTGATCCATTTGCATCAGTTTGATTAAATTCTTCCTAATCAACCTCTGAAAATGTACAGTAAACATTTATTGATCATAGGCTAAGCTTCGTTAGGAGCTTTTGATAGGGGGGGTTCCTATTTTGACAGGTGGTCAGGGAAAGCCTCTTTGAGAAGGTAACAATTGGGAAAAAATATGAAAGTCATAAAGGAACAAGGCATGTGACTACCAGAAAGAAAAGCATTCTAGACAAAGTGCAAAGACCCCCGGGTAAGAACATTCCTGGCATGTTTGAGGAATAGCAAGGAGGCTGTTGTAGCTCAAGAAGAGTAAACTAAACAGGAAAAAGATAGAAGTTGTGGTCAAAAAGATAATGGGGTGGGGAGAGCAACTTGTGGATGGCCTTAAATGTCACTTTAAGGTCTTTTATTTGCTCCTAGATACAGAGGAAGCCATTGGAGTCTTTTGCCATGATCTGGCCTTTGTTTTAGTAGGG